AGATAGATAGATAGATAGATAGATAGATAGATAGATAGATAGATAGACAGATGGAAAACATATGTAATGACAATTACAATCATTTCTATGCTATCTCCCTAAATGGAAAGGAGACAAGCAAATATATTATTTATAAAACAATATGTACCATACAAGTATATATTTATATATTCTTTATAAATACTAAAAAAAGAAAACATACTATGAAACACAAGGACTAAAAGTCTCCATCAGGAGACCTGTTACTGTGTGTGTACGGAGAATCCAGTCATCTGTTTGTGCCTGGTGTTTAAGCAGTGGGGTGAAATGCCAAGGGTGGAGCTTCTATGGTGTCCCTTCTAGGTGTGCACTCCAGAAGTCCTGTGGTGAGGGATAGCTGCAGGAGCCTATCTTAATGGTTCCATTAGAAATGTAATGCTCAGACTTTGTTCAAACTTGTAAAATAGTCACAATTGGAAGGAAATCTGGGACCAAATCTATAAAAGAATTCTGTAGCTCACTATGTCAACAATTGTTTATATACAAGTACACATATTCCATTCTATTATCAGGGGAGATAGATAAATAAATAGATGATAGATAGATAGATAGATAGATAGATAGATAGATAGATAGATAGATAGATAGATAGATGAAAGATTTATAGACATACAGTTATATTTTTATTTTTATATGAATATTTAGTTATCTTTTGTTTGGTCAAAACAGCTTCAGAAGCTTGAGAAGAAATACTTATCAAAAGCCCCCCCCCTTTCTACCTGGAGCTCACTTAAATTGCTTATGAATATATAATTACACATTACAAACCTTACCTATTTATAGAGCTAGGAACCGACCTTCATTATATAATTATTTTTCTTTGAGTAGACTCATTAACAAATTCACTATGGCTATTGAAAGTATGGTAATATCTTAGAAGAACTAATCATTATGATAAAATGTTGGCCCCTACTTTCAGACTTCAGAAATTTGCCTAGATATTTGGTATTCTATTTCTACAACTAGTAACATCCTTTGAGTCACCAATGACTTCTTACCTATTTTAATCTTGAAATTTAATGTTTAGTGTATGAAGTTATAAAATAATGTAACCACACATACAAATAATTCAGGTATTTTTCTTTACATTCTATGTCTTACTTTCTTTTCTAAAGAGAGGTGAACTGCAGCAGTTTATTAAAAATAACGTCTAATATAAAATATCTATTAATATAATAACAAAAATATAGTTAGAGCAATTTATAATTTCCATGCTAATTCTCACATATAGTCTTTTAGCTATTTCCCCTTTGGCTGAACTAGAGAGTTGATGGTGTCTATCTTACACATGCTGATCTCCAAACAGAAAACACAAGATGTAAATGGCTCAGTGAATGTCCTTGGACATCAGTTTTCAGTGGAATGTTGGAACTTTCTCTTTTTACTATTAGCTGCTGTCTTTATGCAGGATTCTGGGACCAATGTTCAGATTAGGAGTGAAGCATTCTTTTGCGTAAATTAACAAACCTCAGTAGATCATGTTATTTACTATACCAACAACATATGGGTAAATTCAAAACTCCAAATGTTTCTGTACCAAATCCGTAATTATTTCTATTTGAACTGTTTCACATGGATTTATGTTCTGTTTCTAAAGAGAGTTACCACATTTTTCATTGGTGAATCAACATCTTATCTCTATTCACAAAAATCTAGCTTTAGAGATAAAGAGATGTTGTGCTCATAGTGATCTCATTTATTGAAAGGAGACAAATGTGTCTCATAATGCAAATTTTTAGTCATATTTCCTGTTTGATAAATTCTAAAGTACTGTAATGACAGCAGCCAACCGTGAAAACTGACAAATACAGGGGTACATTAGGCGTATGATTTTCAAGCTAATTAGCATGAGTTCTCTATTACAACACTTACTGCAGCCAAGGAAGGTTAATGACACACTAGTGGTGAGGCTGAAATAAGATTAAACAACTAGGATCACACACTCTGAGTGAAAGAAGAGGGATTTAAGCTCCTGTGGACCACGGAGAACCCACAATCCCTTCCTTTGCAAATCAGAAAATATTACCATTCTCTGTGTCTTTGGTTTTATTTGTTGTTCCTTTGCTCATATTACATATAAAAGCAATGTCAGTTATGTGATGGCCCTAAGTTGACAGATGAGAAAATCATGTATTCCACAAGAACATATTTTGTATATATAATTTTTATTTATTACAATTTATTCACTCTGTATCCCAGCTATAGCCCCACCCTCATCCCATCCCAATCCCGTCCTTCCTCCCTCCCTCATCTCCTCCCATGCACCTTCCCCAGTCCAATGATAGGGGAAGACCTCCTACCCTTCCATCTGACCCTAGCCTATCAGGTTTCATCAGGACTGGTTGCATTGTCTTCTTCTGTGGCCTGGTAAGGCTGCCTCCCCATCAGGGGGAGCCAGCCACTGAGTTCATGTCAGAGCCTGTTTCCCTTACTAGGGAATCCACTTGGATACTAAGATGCCATGGGCTACATCTGTGCAGGGGTTCTAAGTTATCTCCATGCATGGTCCTGGATTGGAGTATCAGTCTCAGAAAAAAAAAAAAACACCTGGGCCCAGATATTTTGGTTCTGTTGTTCTCCTTGTGGAGCTCCAGACCTTTCCAGGAATCTTATTAAATAAGGGGGAAATAGAAAGACCTGGAAAGACAAGAACATATTTTATAACAACATAGAGGGCATCTCCCTGTTACTTCTGATATCACCCTTATGATATCACCACTATTGATTCAGTGTAGAAATTTTAAAGTAAAATCAACTTTCTCGGGGCTTCTTAAAATTACTTATTTTCTCAGGACTTCTTAGAATTATTTATTTTGAAATAGTACTCTCAAAATGTGTCTTTCTTTCTAAAATCATGCCATACCACTATGGCACAAATAGAGAATTGGCCATCTTCCTCTGTCAAAGCAATTTAGTAGGTGTGGCTTGAGAGGATGGAGTTTAATTAGAGGTGTCTCTGAGACATTTAGATCTAACTAGGATGTTTTTGTGTATATGGGTCTGGGGATCTTAAGAAAGGTAAAAACTAGACCTAGAATTTGACAGCCATGATCAATGGGTGATAGGTGGAGCCTTGAAATTGAGTAAGAGTACCCAAGAACTACCTTCCCACTACAAAGACCTGTGGCCCAAGAGTGCAACCACAGAACACACCCAGGTTTTAAAGAGATGGCTAACAAACAGATCGCATGGTGGTGTCTGGTAAGGAATAATGGCATATGTAAGACTTATATAAAGGCAGATGGCACTGTTTAGTTAGGAGTGAGTCAACTATAGACCTTTTGCCCTTGATCATTGGCAGGTTCTTATGACTGGGGGAGGACAGACTTGGTGCTTGGAGGGAAGCTGCAGTGGGAAGGGAGGACCCTTCAGGAAGCTAACCCAGTAATTGTGGGGAGCACTACACTAAGGCTATTTGTAAATACTGTTCTTATTTCCTCAGAAGAGGCGTTGAGATGAGAGCTGTACCCAAGCTTTATGAATACATGGCTTGGGCTGGCTGACCCCAGAGCATTTCTATCTAACTATCCCTAGGCCTAGGACTGGAGCTTTCTAACCTCCATGCAGTGTAGTCTTATGTAAGCCTGGACCTTGAAGTCTTCAACCTCCAGCCTTCATCTGCTAACCTAGGCCTAGAATGTTTTCAGCCTCCAAGATACAAACCTAGAATGTCTTCACCCTCTGAGACTTACTGCTGAATAAACTCACCCTTTCTAGTTCTTTCTAGCTGGCTGATTCACCTCATCTGTTTTGGCGCAAAACTCCTCTACAAGCTGATTGACTCAAACTGGCTTCTCTCATGCTTTCACTGATTGCTCTACTTGGAAAAAAAAACTGCCTCTGAATTCCATGAACTGAAGTGCATGAACTGAGCTATGCGCCAAGGTGCACAAGTCAGTCCTATACTCTGGAACTCTACTGTTCTGTCTCCATGATCTCTCTCTCCCTCATGCATGCACATGCTCTCCCTCTCTCTCTCTTGTTCTTACTCTCACTCTTGCTCTTCCTCTCTGCATTACTCTTAAGTAGCTTTCTTTTCCTCTCTGTTCTCATGAGGGTTGGGTGTATCCTATCTCTGACTCATTCTGTCAAATCTTTCTCTGATTCATCACTTTGTCTGTCCCTCAATTAGATATTATTGTTTAATTATTGTTTACGTGGGGATTAAAGGTGTGTACTAAAGGTGTATCTGTATTCCACATAGAAGGTGTATACTAAGGGTGTGTCTATATTCCAGCTGGATCACACAGACCAAGGTCTTTATAGGTGATCCCTTATAAGAATAGCCATGTTTCTGGATTAAAATTTTTCTACAGCTATTATAAGGATGGGCAACCTCCTCAGCTCAGTAGTTAATATGAAAGTTTTATTTTAAAAGTGACTTTGATTCTAGCATTCAGGGGCAAAAGCAGAAAGACTGAATTTAAAGCCCTCTTGGGCTTTATACAAGTTCCAAATTATCCTGGG